CCATAAAAGAAAGAGATGCTAAATTAAGCTAGATCAAAATAAAGAAAGCTTTTGCACTGCAAATGATCTTGTTAGAAGATGAAATGGAAAGCTACAGACCAAGAGGAAATATCGGCCAATCACATACCTGACAAAGCACTTGTATCCAGAGTGTAGTGAATTCTCTAAACTCATCAGAAGGAAAGCAAACATTCCAATCAGAAAATGGGCAAAAGGCTTGAAAGGTATTTTACCAAAGAGGATAAAAGAATGCCAAATATGCATTTGAAAAGATGTGTACCACTATTAGCCATTACAGAAATGGAGATTAAAACTATGAGATACCAGCACACACTTATAAGAGTAGATTTCAAAATGTTGGCAATACCACATGCTGGCAGCGGTGGAGTAAATGCATCTCTCCTGCCTTGTTGGTGAAGATACAAAATGGTCCAGCCACTTTGCAAGACAGTTTGGCAACTTCTTATGAAGTCACACATACAGTTAACATACAACTCAGCAATCTGACTGCTGTGCATTTATCCTATAGAAAGAAAACTCATATTCACACTCAAACTTGTATATAAATTTTCATAGTATCTGTTTGTAATATTCCAAAACGGGATGTATCCCAAATGTCTTTAAATAGGTGAATGGATAGAAATATATATATCGTATAAAAAGGCATGAACAAAGCACAATAAGTTGGATCATTACAAAGGCATTATACTAAGTGAAGAAAGAAGGTTATGTACCTTGTGATTTTACTTTTATGACTTTCTCAAAGTGACAATATTTTAGTGATGGAGAACAGACCAGTGATATTCAGGTGTTACAGTTGGGAGGTGGATGTGACTACTAAGGGGCAACACAAAGAAGTCTCTTTGTGGAGACGAACAGTTTTGCATGCTGATTGTGCTGAGGGTTACATGAATCTACACCTGATAAAGTTTCTTGATCTCTAATCACCTCACACACCCAAAACAAGTGCATGTGAAAAGTGCTGAAATCCCAACAATGACTGTATTTGAGTTAACGGTATTGTACCAATGTCAGCTTCCTGCTTTTGATCATGAACTACGTTTATGGAAGTAATGGTCATTGGGGAAGCTTAGTGAAGGGAATACCAGGATTCTCTGTAGTAGTTTTGCATCTTCCTGTGAGTCTTAAACTATTTCCTAATAAAAATTATAAAATAGAATAGTCAACATAATCCTGAAAAAGAACAAAGCTGGAGAATATCAAGACCTATTTTTAAACTTTTCATTTATAAATAAGATTGACAAATAGAAATGGCAAACAAGAGGATATATTGGAGTATAT